GATGGTCTTTAAGGTCCCTTCCAACCCAAACCATTCTATGATTCTACGATTCTAAATATTAACATTCAATTGTACATTCTGTTAAACCTCCAGCACATTTACAGTCAAGATTTTGGCCTGCACCTTTTTGGAAGTCTTCCAGATAATGCCTGGATAGGTTTAGGTACTAGATCATGGGTGGATTCAAATGGAAATTTGTAAAAGGATATCCTAGTATGGGAGTGGAGAGGAATAAGATTTATTATTATAAATGCTGGTTATGGAGTGGTCATGAGGGAAGAGAGTTTAATTGTATAAATAGAAGTTGTGCTGTGCTGGTGCCTCAGAACCAGAGAACCGGCCTTGTAGTGCAGTCATCACCACAATTTTGCCTTTGCTTCCTTTGGATCCTCAGGAGTATTGTGCTAACAGGACTATGAAAGAAGAAAGTATCTAACAGATTGCTCATAACAGCTTTCTCTCAGGCAAATCTTTCTTACACCTTCAGGGAATACTCCTAAGCCTGCTTGACGTTACTTTTGAGATTTTCTGAAGGATAAATGAGTTTCTTCAATGTTTGTTTAGGTTTTTCTAAGATTTTGTTGTTGTTGTCCCAGTAGTTTATTAAATTATTTATAAACGTGATATATGCTAAGCTTCTGGGAGACCTACGTACCATATTCAAGCAGCTGAGTGAGCAATTAACTTCATCCTTGTCTGTTAAATCTGTTCAGGGCAAAAAATACCTTGGGGATCTGCACCACTAGATAATGGAAGATGGGAGCAAAAGACAACACAGACCACATATTTTGACCATCTAATCAATTCTCTTTGGTCTAAAAGGAATGTTATGTAATGGTCATGCTACACTTTACTGTGAACACAAAATAATTTAGACACTTCGGTAGTCAAAGTCCCTGTTCCCATTCTTTCCAGATTTTAACCCACTGTAAAATGCTTAATACTTCTATAAATAGACTGAACTCTTAATGTCACCTAAAGATTCTTTGATTCTAGTATAAAAAATTGAATATAGTATAAAAAAAGTGATGCTATCCACATAGAATTTATTAATTTTTTCTAAGTAAGTGAAATGAAAATAAAAATTATTTGTGTTAAAAGTGGAGTTGTTCATGCAATATGAATGTTCAGCATAGGACAGAAAGGGTTTTTTTTGTTTGGTGGTTTGTTTTTTTTTTTACCTTAACAATATCTCCTTCACGCAGCTGAAAGCTCCTGGCTCTAAGACGGATCCCTTTTCCAGCCTCTGTTTCAATTTTATAGATACATTCATGGTTGTTGTCATAATTAGATGGAAAATTGGGAGACAGTAACGTTCCTTCATTTCCAGAGATAGTTGCTCCACATTCAGCTAAAGAGAACAGACACATTAAAAAAAAAAAAAAAAAAAAAAAGAGAGAGAGAGAGAGAAAGTGAATTATCCATTTCAGGAAAATATGTATTATTATTTGCAGTAATATTTAGACTCCATGAAAACTTTAACAAGCTACCTAGGAGAAATATGTTTCTGCCAGAATTCTTCTGTAGGACAAACTCCTAGAAACCCTACCAAAGTTGCTATAATCTCTTGCATTTCACTGGGTATGTTGATTATGTGCACTTTTATGTAATTCCCTTTACCTCCAGTTTATCCCTTGGTTCTCCCATCCACTAACCCATAATGCAGGTTAGCCAGATTCCATAAAAATTGGGTGTTTTGCTGAAATATAGTTATTGTGGTAACATTTCAAATAAACGTAACATTGATTTCATTTAATTCCCTGTTCTGCTTTACAAAAAAGTATTAGAAAAAGCACACAATAAGCTGCTGTGATAAAAGAATCTGGCAATAAATCAAGAGCATTAAAATACATTTTTCCTCCACCAGTAATAATAATTAAAAAAAAAAATCCTAAACCACAAACCAACATCTACTGACACTGGTCAGGGCCAAGCAGACAGCTCCCTTCTTACCACCTAAAGAGTAGGTGAGTCTTTTTCACAGTTATCTGTAGTAAGAAGTTATTGAAACTTTTAGGAGTACACATTTTTGTCATTGCTCCCCATTAAAAAATAACGAAGCATAGGAAGAGGGGTGTATTCCAACCCATGGTCTCAGTTTGCATGTTGAATAAAGAATAATAACATTATTCCAAATGTGCAATATAAATTTTAGTACATAAATGAAAACATCCACAGAGATAGAAAATAATACTAGTGTACTGTTCAAACAAATATTCAAAATTCTTTAAAAAAAATTCTAAAACCACCTTATAACACCCTTCAGTAACATTAACATACTAACATAAATCTACATTTTTATCTAAGGTGGATGAGATTTATATTTATATCCTGTTGTTCAGTATAATAATAAAATGCACTCTCTTAAGTACAGATTTTGACCTAAACACCCTTCAGACCTCATTCAGAGTTTGATAAAACCTGTTATAATGGTTAAAATAATAATAAAGGAAAGTATGATTGTAAATCAACAGATATTTTTTATCAAACATGGAAAGGTTTAAAAAAGAAATCTGTATTTTTTTTATAAATGTCAAGTAGACTTTTAGGGTTCATAGGATGTTAGAATATTTATTTTTGGATGTGTATAGGGTTTAGAATTTTCAGTAAAATTTAGTATAGTTTCACAAGTATATATGTAAAGAACCATTTTGAAAATTTAATGTAAAGATAGACCAGAAAGATATATCAGAAAATAGATCATTTCAACATATTCGTGGAGAAATGTTTCATGTTTACATATAAATCATCTAAAAATTTTGTATTTACATTTCTGAGGCCTCATCTTCAAATTTATGTGCTTCTTGCTTTTCAAAAATCTTAAAATGGTGAAATTTTCTATTTTAGACTTACTCTAATAAAACTGGAAAAAAAGAGAGGAGGGAGAGGGTGGAAGGGAGGGGTAGAGAAAAGGAGGGGAGGAGGGAAGAAAAGATGAAAGGGGAGAATAAAGGAAGGGAGGAATTAAACAGTCTTATTCAGAGCCTTATTTCTACTCTACATTTGAGATCTCCTTAAGCAAAATGAAGAAGGATATCAAAAATTAGCTAGCTCAGGTTCTCTGATTTAACACTTAAGTTAGAGTTCATTTGCTATTTTAAAGTAGACCTTTATATTCTCTCCTTCCTTAGCTTACTTAGGCCTTGACCTGCTTTATATTTAATAGGCAGAAGAGCGTTGGGGAATAAGAACCCCTTCCACCTCACTTCAGACTGCCGAACTCTTCCTTTCCTGGGGAGTATAGGATGCACAAGATATTTCTATGAAGTTTAAAGTCACTTTACTGTATCTAAATGTTTCAAAGAACTGTAGCTGACTGACAAATTAGCTAGATCTTTAGTTTGATACTTCCTTGGTAAAGGATCTGTCATATATGTGATATGTATCACATGCAGTTATATATACCTGTATATCTCTCTATATATATTTTTTGTGAACAGGTTCATATGTAGCTGGTTTTTTCTTTCATTTTTAGGAAGAAGATGAAACTAATTAGGTTTATCAAATGTAATTTTGAGCAATGCCAACATTAATGCCAGACATGTTTAGACCCATACTACTCGATGTCTTCTTTTGTTTAAAATTGCAGTACTCTCTACACGAGTCTTCTGCAAAAAAGTGTTTGCCCAAGTAAAGATCCACATAAAAATATCTACGTCCTCTTAGGCTGCATTGGTATCTTATCTACCTCCTTCACAGAACTGGAAAATACAGAAGCAAAATGCTGAAGAAGAAAATAGGAAAATGTTATGGAAGGAAATTAGTTTTTCTTACATAATGTCCATACAGTATTCTACATTTTGTTTCAGTGATTGACCATAAACCACAAAGACACATACAGTATTAAGAAAAGTGTACAATGATCTTTCTCTAATCTAGAACTGTCCAAATTTCCTGTTCCATTAAGTCTATATTCCAAAGTTCAAAACCAAAAAACTTTAAATCTGGAATAAAATTACTGATGTATAAGGTCAGGAATAATGAGGGCTACAAGCTAAATTTAATATAATATTACTACCCTCCTAAAGTATACTGCATTCTTCAAGAAGCAGACATGCTTTCTGTTGTAAACAATTAGTTATTTACTAAAATTCGATTACATAGCAAAATTGTTCGTACTCAAGTTGGCAGTCATACAACTCCAACCTGTCCTATACAACCATAATGTTTTAAGTGCACACTACCCCTTCTCAAATAGCTTGCAAATATTTGACAGATATGCAGTTTCATCAGGCCCTATCATTCCCTTCATTATCATGACAAAGGTTTGCTCATGTCCTCTGACCATCAAGTGTCCTAGCTCATCTCATGTCAGTCAGTAAATCACTGACATCCCCCAGAAAGAGGCTACCAAAGGAAATCAAACCCTTCTTTGTCAACTTCCTTCCTTCAACAGAAGAATTGTACAAAACATGTCACAGTTCAGGTTCTATTGACATTTTTTGCTAATGTTAGGATATCAAGTTAAGGCCGTGTTTAATTAGCTCCCCTAATTTCTTGGCCTGCTGATTTAGGTGACACTTTTTCAGAAAAACATTGACCTCATCCATGGAAAGATTCCTGTCTCTCTGGGACTTTTGAGCTTTTGGAGATCTGATGTCCTAATGCTTGACGTCTCCTTAATTTGTGATCAATGCCCAGATATACAAAGGACCTTAGGCACCAAGAACTTCAACTGAGTATTTTCCTGACCATTCCACACACTGCAATCCAGAACTGGTTGACATCCCTACATATAATGGGAAAGTAGAAGCTCAGAAGAGCAAACATGAACAGGAATGCTGAGTCTGGTCTTGTCAGCAAACTTATACAGTCAAAGGCATCTCTCCCCTTCAAGACCCTAATATTTTACTCAGCAGTATAGGAAATGTCGTGTTTTTTCTTTAAAAATATCTACAGTTGCTGATAATTGTGATGATTTTTATACAGTGATTAACACATACAGCCAGAGTATGTGACATATAAATTCAATCCACTTTGCCTCTGGGGATTTAAACATGCATCTCCTATGACTGCTACTACACATAAAGGGATTAGAAAATCAGTTAGTCACGAAGTGAGCAAATGTTGGCTAACCTCTTTAACATAATAGGTAGGGCATTAAACAGGGAAGGAGGAACACTTCTTCAAGGAAATTCATACATTAAACAGTTGGGAAATAAAATTCTGAAGTAGCCTATGAATCAACATTCACTATTACCATATGACTATCAAACTACTTCACTGAAAAATATATTCATGTTCACTTCCATTTTCATCGTCTCCAATTAAACTTTAATTCTTTATGCAAAATAAAACAACAGCACTTAGCCCCACATTGGCAAGATCATTCTGCTAGGAAACATCAGATATAATTTAAAATTCTTTTACAGAAAAAAGGGAAAGGAAGCCACATATCTTAAATTCCTAATGAAAGAACAAGCCATGAAGTTTTCTGTAAGTGATATGGCTCATCCACCTATGGTAACTGAAAAATAAATTCATGCCAATCATTCTTAGATGTCATGAAATATTCCTTATCTAGCATGTGCTCTATAAGTAATTACTGATTTTAATACCTCAAATTAATCAGCAAAATCTTATCATATGATGCTGAGAGAGCTTTTTAGTTCTTGGGCTACAAAGGACTTCTAGTTTTTCATGCCACTAGTCACTTCAACGACTTCCAGATTCCTCCTGAGTTACAGAGACCTGTCCTCATCTTGGGAGAATGATCTGCCTCCCCAGCCAAGAGAGATGAAAGAGAAAAGTTTTCTCATGTCTTCTACATGAGAAAAAAATCTTGTATCTACTTGCATTTTTATTTATTAAATATAATTCACTAAATATTAATCATATGCACCCTTCTTCTGATAAAAATCAACTATATCCCTATTAGTATCTACAGGTCTTCAAATTAGGCAAACACTGACAGGTACAGAATTTGCCATGAGAAATAGTCTTTACTGATCTTAAAGTAATTATTCTTGATATTCTATCTCCATACTTTGATCTACAACCTTTTCTTGGAAAAATTTGTGTGAATTTAAGTGAACAAGTATACTAGAACATACCCACTGAATATGCTCTACCTAAGTAGTGCTTTCAGATTAGCTCTCCCAGCTGTAGACTTTAAAGGAATATATTGTAATGTTATTTGTCAGATTTTGTGATGTACTTAGACTAGTATATCAGTACTAATGTAGCTGCAACTTAAGAACTTGAAATCTGCATATAATACCTAAAAATTTCTAAAAAAGATGCAGCACTGCAATAGATTATGAAATAATACAGATCCCTTCTTTATTTTGCTTTCCTTAGTTTCCTTTTCTTTTTTGTAGTAATCTATTTAATTTTTCCAGATTCAACATA